CTCTCTCCTCACCCCTGCCTCCCCCTCCATCCCTCCATTGCTCCTCAACTCACTGACTCCCCCTCCATCCCTCCATCCCTCCACCTACTCTTGTTTGGCTCCTCTGGTTTTCCCAACAGTCTCTCAGCTTTCAGCAGAAGTGATACGGAGGCAGGTGAAACACAAACACTAATGACTCATCCTGGATTTTACAGTAATCACAGTGTGTGTGTGTGTGTGTGTGTGTGTGTGTGTGTGAAGACGACCCTGAGGGCTTGTAAACACACACAGAGTTGATTGGTTTGTGTTGCTGATGTTGCTCAAAGACACACAGACGCCTTCTTTCCTCCATCACACTGAAGAAGATCGAACTCATGTCAGTCAAACCTTCATGTAAACGTGTAGGTGAAGAGGTTACACCTTCAGGCTCCGCCTCCTGTAACTGTAATGTTAGTCTTGTCTTAGTCGTGACCTACGGTCTCGTTTGGACTGTGCTACACTGCCCAACGCACTCCGGTGGTACTGCTCTGTTTCGTCCATATCCGTGAGCTCTTAGAAAATGTGCAAAAATACGGACGACATGAATGCAGAGTACAAACAGAAGGCTCAGTCTGCGTCTATATACGTGTCTAACTTTAAGCAGAAATTAGCCCTTAAACTCCTCTGTCTCACACAACCAGCTGACAACAGGATGGATTCGTGACCACTGACAGTTTAACACAATGGTCGGCAACCTGCGGCTCCAGAGACACGTGACTCTTTAGCAGCTCTCCACGGACTTCCTGTGGTTTTGACAGCAAAATTACATGGAAACAAATAACTGTTATTGTTTCTATTTTCATTCCTTGTCGTAGGCGTAAAGTAATTCGGACATTCTTCAACTGTTTTGTCAACTAAATACGCATCATACGACTGTGGCCGGGCGCCGTTTCCTCTACAAACATCACTAGCAATGGCTACAGCAATCCTGAGTCTCCAAAGCTAGGCTAGCTGTGGATTCCAAATCCAAACAGGGTGGCCACCTTGTGCTAAAACATATTCATGAATGCTTATTTAGATCTATTAATAATTAATAATGTTGATAAATTTGACTTAAAAGGCTGTATTACCTTTAATATGAGGCTCAAACATGTTGAGCAGCTCCGGACAGATTTTTTTATTTTTTATTTTTGGCCAAAAATGGCTCTTTTGATAGTCAAGGTTGGCGACCCCTGGTTCAACATGATGGACGCAGCCACCGTGATGTCACCCACTGGTTTGGGGAGTAATGTTCTGAAGCCTTGGGTCTGACATTATGGCCGACGTTTTAGGATTTTAGAGCCAGAAGTGACCGTACAAACGGTTTCTCCTGATGGAGCTACGCTAACAGTTTCCCTCTGCTTCCAGTGTTTGTGCTAAGCTAAGCTAAACATGTCCTGACTCTGTCTCTGAGAACAGATGAAGCTGGTATTGATCATCCTGTCCAACTGTGAGCGAGACAAAAAAACATCAAGTCTGACGTCTGCAGCTCAAACACACTGACTGCTGCTGCTCTGTGTGTGTGTGTGTGTGTGTGTGTGTGTGTGTGTGTGTGTGTGGGCGGCTGTTTGCTAATGGCTAAAACAACAACATGTTCTGTTGCCACTTAATTCAATATCAGGAACAATAAACCACAGACACACACACACACACACACACACACACACACTGATGTTATTATCAGTCTGCCTCTGGTCACAGTTTGTTCTGTTAAACAAACTCTTATTTTTATGTCTCACAATGGAAATAAAATCCTGTGGAACAAACAAACAGAGCAGCGCTCACCTGCAGTCTGAAAAGCAACTAAAATAATGTTTTATTATTAATATTTGTTGGTTGATTTCTACATTAATCAGTCATTCAGTCAATAACGTGTCAGAAAACTATTTAAAAAATGCTCCCAAAAAACCAAGATGTTGTCTTCTAGTCCGACCAACAGTCCAAAACCCAAAAATATTCAGTTTACTGTCATAAAACACAAAGAAAACAAAAAACTCAACTGCAAATCAAACAATTTAAGCAACTAAAAGCCATTTAAACAGTTTAATATAACCTACAAGCAAAGAAATCAACCAATTAAAGAAACAATCCAAAGGATCAAAACACAAACTAGAAAAATACCACAGCCGATGAATAATAATAACAAAAACAACTAAACAACCTTACCAAGTAAACATGTAAACATTGTTGATCCTCCCCGTCGACCACAGGAAGCTTTCACTCAATGAACACAGAGAACAGCAGAGAGAGAGAGAGAGAGAGAGAGAGAGAGAGAGAGAGAGAGAGAGAGAGAGAGGCTGGCCGCCTGTCAGTCAGAGCTCAGGGACTTTTCGCTCCATTTCCTGATCTAATCATTCCCTGATCTGTGATTGGCTTACAGCTCAACCTGCCACCTGATTGGCTGTCGTCCAGGTAATGCCATTATCCCGCTGTGCTTCCTGTTAGGATCAGGTGCTATTTATGTCCAGCACACACACACACACACAGTAATAGCCAGTAATTAGCTGATAGCCCTCGGGGCAGAGGGGGCAGTGGGAGAAAGGGGTGAGTGGGTGCAAAATTGTCAATATAAATTATATAAATATATCAAATGTTTAGAGAATAACGAAATAAATAAAGAACTGGTCCAAAATTCCCATTGAAATAAAAATTAGACATGATAGTGCAGAAAATTAATCAAAAATCGACTTAAGCTGCACCGATTCTCCCTTTGTTGGCCTTCTGATTGGTCTGCTGACCCACCAACCAGAGTGCTCCTCCCCATAGCAACAGTTGCTAATGTACTGGGGTTCAACGCGGATAAATCAGTGATTTATATTATTCTAACATGGTTAAAAGGTGTGCTTGGGGTGTCTAATATGTGATGTGATCCAGCAATGTTACGCTAGCTACAGACTGTTGTTAGCTCACTATGCTAACCTGTTGGGCAGGCCTCAGACAGGCCCGGCTCGTATTAGACGTTAACTTGCTGGCAACATTAACGTTTGTAGAGGACAATATTCCTATTTATATAACATCAGCTAACTATTACTGTGGTGTTAAACTTGTAAACACTCTCAATATAACGTTAACGTCGGGCGAGAGAGCTAGCAACTGCGGGGGGACAGCTCACGTTAGTGGCCATGGTTACCGTCGGACATCGGAACAAAACAAGGATTTTCACCAGTTTTCTGATATGTCATGTAATGTCCGTTCACTCAACTGTAGCCACGTTTGGATCCAACGTTTTGGACAGAATGATCGATTCTATTTGAATTACGAGAAAGTTAAATCTCCCGGTACTTTCCATTGTGTCCTATGGGAATGAACCCCTGCGAGACTAGTTTTGTCGAACCCAGCAACAGTAACCAAGGAGGGCGGGTCTTGACGAAGGTGAATTAGCTGATTAATCAATTAGTTGACTGACAGAAAATTCATCCACAGCTATTTTGATAATTAGTTAACTTTTCTACGCAAAAATATTTTCTGGTTACAGACGCTCATTTGCTGTTTTTCTTTGTCATATACGACAATTAATTTATCTCAAATTAATCTCAAAGTTTTGGACTGTCAGACAAAACAAACAAACCGGAGACGTCACTGTGGCCTCTGAGAAACTGACAATATAATTTTTTAAACCATTAATTGCGGAAATAATCAGCAGACTCATTGATAATAAAAATAATTGCTAGTTACAACAGAGTTGAAACAGCATCAACCCTGGCGCTGTGAGCAAGATCTGAAAACGCACCCACCTCTGCTCAAAAATACAATAAAACAAAAAATAAAGCTGAATTTTGGACAGTTAGAGGCAGTGCCAGCG